AGCGTGTGGTGCCCCCAGCTCATTGCACTGATGGCACAGGGACGTGCTTCATAGACCGTGGCAATGTACAGGAACCTGAATTTTGGGATATTTCCCGTGAAAAATGACTGTCGAGTCTATTAGTAGAATGAGCTGATGACATGGAGGGGTTTGAACTCGGTTTTGTCACTCGGCTGGTTTGTTCAGGGCTTTGAGAGCCCGTAGGCTGAGAGGTTTGTTGGTTCCTTTTGCTCCCATATTTCCTCTTGATTTGGAGAAGCTGCTCACCTGAGCATCTCCAGGTTTTTAAGGTTGTTTTTTTCTCCCCTCTTTCAGGTCCTTCTCATGAGTGGTATTGCTGGGCTTACCCCAGAGACTGAGATGACCTTTTGTCTCTGTAACCTCCAAATGGTTGAGTCTGCTGCAGAGAGTTGCTCTTAGACATGAAAAAAATGAGTATTGGACATGTCCTTCCTGGCTTTGGGTCTTCAAAGTTGCACAACCGTGGGGAACCTGAGTCAGAAGGGGTTTAGGCTGTACAGATTTGGGCCACAGTGTCCGCGAAGTCTTTTGAGCCAGCGTTGGACATGTTGCACCTTGCCTTTCTAGCACCCTTTGTCTGTTAGTGACTTCACTTGGCAGTCCAGATAAATTCAGGGATGTGGGGAAAACTTCTCAATGCAGGCTGGGATACCGTCAAGCTCCTTAGGTCAGCAAAGCTGGTAAAGGGTGTGAAGCTTGTGGTTTCCACAAGAGACGGTCAGAGTCCGTACGGAGTGGGACTAGTCAGAACTTGAGGACTTTGTAAGGCAACTTCAAAAGATGATCTGCACAGACACCAGAGTTGAGGGGGGAGCAGTTGTGTTACGTGCTCAAGAGGTTTTGGCTGTCAGCATCAAGTGTGAAATTTCTCTCAAGGAGATGGAGATAGGAATCATCTTAAATTGGGATGATGAGACGCTTTCTGCCTCTGAAGAACAAAGAGTATGTTGTCGAGTTCTGATGCTCAGATGTCTTAACGTGAGGTCATCCGATGACGGAAAAGGGAGCGGATAAGGTCCATGTGTCGTGCCGAGGGGTCGGAGCTCCGACTGATGTGCTCCCAGCTCCGGGTGGGGATGGCTCTCGGAAAGGCGTGCAGGTGCAAGCTTGCGTTCTTCTTGGGCTCGGGTTTTCTCTGTTGTCCCTCACTCTCAGGCTCCACACGGTTGTCCTCGTTGAGCCTTGCAGCAGTGGTGCTGCTGTCGCTGTCATGGTTTGAGGGTACGGTCAAGGTCATGTTTGTGGGGAAGCGTGGTGCTTGGTAAATCAGGACAGGTACAACTGGAGAAAAGGCGGACAAGTGTCTGGCACGTGGGTCTGTCCAGATCTGGAATAAATACGGGATGGCTTGACAAGAGCTGCTGTGAGGTGGATGTGGTCATGTCGATGGCACTAGAAGAAAGAGGCTGCTAGCAAGAGGGCGATAAAGTCGTTAGCCACTTCATCTAGGAAGAAGGGTAATTATCTCCTGAGAAACCTTCAGCCTTGGACATCCAATAAACAAACCAAATAAATATTGTCATCTGGAAAAATACCAGCTCTGAAAGCTGTGGGCCCTTATTTTAGTCTGTTTACTCCAGAAGTGGACCTGGAAATTTGGAAAACCACTGAAACAGCCTGCAGGAAATGCAGGGACACCTTCAGCCCATGTTTTTCTCTGCAGCCCCATGCTGTAGCTCTTCTCCATCAGATGCACTGAAACAGCATTAAACAACTCTATAAAATGAAATAATTAGAATGTTCTACCCTTGCTCAAAGCTTTTCGGAAGCCATACTTGGATCCTTCTCAGTTGGAGTCCTTAGCCACGCCAAGACTTAGAGGGCGTAAGGGTGAACAAGAGGACACCAGTCCCTACCATGCCATCTCACTGTCCCCAGCACAACAGCCGCCCTCCCAAGCCCATGAAGTGGTCGTGGCAGGTCTTCGCACTTCTCCAGAGCTGTTTTAACTCTACCCAAGACGTGGTTGTTTCGTCCCTCTCCCTCGGTAACACGCAGGTGGTAGAAACCCATAGGAACTTGACTTGGACTCGCTGAGCTGCAGGACACCGATTATTAGTGTCAACAAGCTTCACATTTTTAAGAAAGCGCTTCACTGATTCTTTATTTGGTTTTATGGGCTCGGGTTGGCAAAGCAGCCCAGTGTGTCTCTGTGGCAAGCTTCCATCTTCCGTTCTAATTTATGGGTACGTTATACAGCGGTCCAAGATTTCCCAGAATCGGCCCTGTCTGCGCAACCTTGGAAAGATAATTAATTAATTGCACCGTACAAGAAAAAGGAGCCCCGCGTTTCAGTAACGGGCTTCAGGATTACAATAGCCTGGGTTTGTTTTGGTTTGATGGGGGGTTTTTTTGGGTTTTTTTTGTCCAGCTTTGCTTTTTACTGAATAGAAACATATATTAAAAATTCCTATCCCAGAAGGTGTTAGGAACAGAGTCACGCCGACGCCGTGTAACAGACACGACCATCAGCAAGTTGGATCCCTTCTTTCCTGTTTTGTTTCTGTGCTCACCTACAGATTGATATCAAACGTTCAGTCAAAATTTGTCGACGTTGCGAAGTCTCGCTTGCTAATAATTAATTAGCAGAGTGGTTACTAATACATGTAGCTTTAACCAGTCTGCCAAGTGGCGTAAGAGGGCTGGAGCACCTTTCCTATGAGGACAGGCTGAAAGAGTTGGGGCTGTTCAGCCTGGAGAAGAGGAGGCTCCGGGGTGACCTTATAGCGGTCTTCCAGTACCTCAAGGGGGCCTACAAGAAAGATGGGGAGAGGCTGTTCAGGAGGGCCTGTTGTGATAGGACAAGGGATAATGGTTTTAAAATAGAGGGAGGTAGATTCAGGTTGGATATTAGGAAAAAATTTTTTACCATGAGAGTTGTAGAACACTGGAACAGGTTGCCCAGAGAGGTGGTGGATGCTCCATCCCTGGAGACGTTCAAGGCCCAGTTGGATGAGGCCCTGAGCAACCTGATCTAGTTGGAAATATCCCTGTTCCTTGCAGGGGGGTTGGACTAGATGACCTTTGAAGGTCCCTTCCAGCCCTAATCATTCTATGATTCTATGATTTCTCACTCTTTGAGTAAACGTGTTTGTAGAGAGAGGTGGGGTCTTAAATGTGGCTCGTGATAATGGCAGGAAGAGGAGAAGCTGGGCATCCCCCTTTTCTGATTCCTAATTGATCTGGTTTTGCTTGGCTCTTGCTGTGTGGACGTTCCTGGACATGGCAATACTGCACAGCAGGTGGACTGTGATTCCAAGTGGCTCAGAAGAAAGAATGCATGAAGTCTCCACGTACATTGAATAAGTTGTAAAGAAAACCCAGCTCTGAGTCCTCATCTTTTTCTTCCCCCTCTTTTTTTTAATTTCTTTTTAATTGCTCATTACGCTGATTTATTACAGAGCTTGTTTGCGCTGGGAGCTGATGAACGCTGGAAACTTGGGCTTTCGTTTTGGTATGGATATTAAAGGATAAATTTAGTCAGTATTGTCTCAAAGCATAGCCTAGGTTGAGAAATGCCTCAGTGCCATTTGGTTTTGGGTATTTTCTGTCTTTCCAGTTATGTTGCTGGTCAGCAGCTCTGTGATAACAGCTCCTGTTGCTATGCTTCTGGTTCCTGCGAGCGTGGGTGAGAAGGGATGGGAATATTTCAAAGTAATTTAAAAAATTGCATACTGACTGCTGTGGTTAATGCTACTGTATCCATCCCAGAAGGCTTTTTTTTTTTTTAATTAATATTTTTTTTCTTTTACAATTAAGGGTATTTCTGCGTTCCTTCAGTTTTGACTACAAATGCTTTTAGTGGATTGTAGGACTGAATTCTGAAATGATGGAGCTTTTTTCCAAGTTCTTTAGAACAATTCCCCTATGTCCTGCTAGTCTCTGAGAACACAAGAATAAGGAGGATGAGGAGTCCATAGGGGAGCAGGCAGCTCCTTCCTGGCTGTTTTGCAGTGCTTTGAATGCCGGCGTGTCGGGTTTACAGATGAGCAATTGGTCTTTGAAGAAGCAGTGAAGGTGAACTGCTTCAGTTCTGTGTCTCTGGAGGTTTTTCTTCATCTCTCTGAGGTATCTGGTGTCAGGAGCTGGTGACTTTTGGCCTGTCCATGTGGTGCACGCGTTGCTTGAATCAGTAAAATGCTTCAGGTCCGTGAGCTTAGTTCAAGAGTTTACTTCAAGAAAGGTGGATTTTTATTATCAGCTGTTTCAAAGGATCAAGAGCTGCCAGCATCCCTTGCTGCATCAGCTGCATCCCAGCATCTGGGATGCTGAGGAACGTTGGGTAGATGCCGTCTACGTAGGAGAGCGAAGGCGAGGAGTTCGAAGGTCAAGGTGACCACAAGGGTCCCAGCCCCGTTGAGGAAAGTCCTTAGACTCTTTTACTGTCCTAAGAACCATGGGAACGCCGTGGGTCAGAGATGATGAAGCATTAGCATATCTCATGTGCCACGTCAAGTCACAGCCTGTCAGAGCCTTAAATTCCCAACATGGACCTCCCATGTGCAAGGAAAGGTGTTGCTGTAGCCTGGAGCCTCTGTGTTCTTCTGCCTGGCTCCAAACAGGTGCTTTAATTGGTGTTGATGTTGTTCTTACAGGCAGCCCAGCCATGACTCACAGAAACCTGACTTCCACCAGCCTGAACGACATCTCTGACAAGCCCGAGAAAGACCAGGTAAGGGCTTAGACTTGGCTCAGTGATGTGTGTGGTTTTGAGCTGGACATGGGGGAAAGAGGCTCTGTGCCATGAAACTGAAGCAGAAGAAGAGGCTGAAGAAGGTGAGTAGAGTATTTCCGAGTCCCGTGACTCGATCCTACACTTTTTAAGCCAAAAACAGCAGGTTAAACTCTTAGAAGGCCTGAAGCAAGTGACACCACGTACGTGGCATCTTGCTGATACCCCTGAGAAAGGAGGGGAGATATCCAGATATCGATGTATTTCTCATTTTCTTCCTGAAAAAATGAGGGTCTGCACGGGAGCGGGGTCCTGCAGCACTCCAGGGCGGTGTGTTCCCAAGGGCCGTGGGGTCCATCAGGAGCATTCAGAGGGACGTGTCCCTCCTCCAGCAGCTGGTGAAGCAGAAGCTGCTGCCTAACCCTGTGCAGATGCGTGTCGGAAAGGCAACGGCGCCGATGGGTAGCAGTGCTCCAGCACGGACAGTTAAAATTGGCCTTTAGTGCCGCGTCCCCACGAGTTTGACCCATTTCTTAGATGAGGGTGGTGTTTGCGGTGCGTGATACGGGGTGTCTGTGCGTGTGTTCTCGTCCTTTCTGAGCGTGGAAGAGCCTGAGGGGGAAAAGTGAGTTTATTGCGACTCTTCGAAAACCAGTGTCCTAATAAGCTCTCTGGGCAAATTTCAAAAAAACCTTTGCTTTGATTCAAAAAGTGGGTTTTTCTCAAAGCACGACTGTTTCTTTCGAAGAGTCTTTCCCCCCCACCACCCCTGGGTCTTTGAGTGTTCTCTAGTGCCGTGGTTATCCTGAATGCAAATGAGAATTACTCTGGAAGATGATTTGGGTATGGCAGTGAGTGTGGCACGCATCCTTCAGATGATGGCCGGTTGCGTTCTTCTCTAAGCTCTGCCTTACAGGGACACAGCAACATAAAAGATGTAGAGAAGTGAGTTCAGGGGTATTAAAAGTTGATAAATAAATCAATAAACGTATTTACATTTTTAATTGCAGTGTAATTAGGGTCTGGCAGATAGACTGGCAGAACACTGGGTGTGAATGTCGCAGCAGGCTTTGTCGACCTCCGTCGTGCAAGCCTGGGTCACCCCTCCTGCTGAAGTGTCTCTGGACACATACAGATAATAGACTTTTTGTCTGGAATTGGCTATAAAAATAGATGTTTCTGTAGCACTCATAGTGAAATCCGTTCATAATTCCAGTTGGGAAGCGCACTCCAAAGTTTTTGACTTTCAGCATAGATAAGACCTGACTGTAGTGAAAACAGTTACGTGAAAACTCACTGGTTCCAAAAAGGTGCTTAGTTAATTACCCCCGTGTCCTGCTGATGAACTTTGCACAATGGAACCCTTGTGCTGCAGGCCTTTTGACGCTGGCCTCAGAAATCACCTTACGTCTCCGTTTTCATTGCTGATGGACTGAAACTCCCGTCTTGATAGAGTTTGTGAGATGGTGGTGATGCCGGGAACTTTCTGGAGCAGAGCTTGGCATGGCAGACAGGAGGCAAGGGAATAATCCGTCACGTTCCCACAACAGGAGCTGGAAAGAGAAAAGATTTTCTTGCCTTGACAGCAGAGCAACTGGCTGTTGTTGGTTTGGTATCCCAACTGGGAGCTTGACGGTTAACAAGGCAGTCTAGTGAGATATGGGTCTGCTGGAGAAAGAGGCTGTTCCAATTTTGATGAATTTTTTGCATCTATGAGAACTGCAACAGGCTGAAGGCGGTTGGTAACGGTTGCTCGGAGCAGGACAAGGACCTAAGCTAGATCACTATTCTTGCAAAGATAAAGGAGAGCATTGTGTGCCCCTGTTTTAAAGGAAGCAAGGCTTTGAGCCAACTTCTCCATACCTTCAGTAACTTTCCTGCCTACCCACCTCCTTAGTTTTCAGTTCTGCAACCTTCAGTGCTAATTGGAACGGTGCAATTAACAGGGCAGCGAGATTATAGCCAGAATACTCCTTTAATCCGTCTTTCAGTAGGTGCTTACTGAGCAGAAGGACACCTGGGTTCAGTTGAAGTAGAGGTTCTGAATGCTCTCTCTTCAAACTCTGAAACGTGCTCCTCAGAAGATTTTTATCCTTTTATTTCTTGTTGTTTTTGTCTCCATCTCTTTCCCGTTACGGAGCAGTGCCAGTGGCCAGTGCTTCATAGTTGCCATATGACCTCCAGCCCTCCCTTTTTTAGGGTGGCAGATGGGGTTTGGTGATTGTCACCGGCACGGCAAGGCAGAGAGGGACACAGGACAGTGCCTCAGGACAGCTCTTGCCCTGTACACTCATCCAGCTGGACGCAGCGGTAGCATTCTGAAGCAGCCATAACCTCCCTGTACCATCACCCGACCTGGGAAGGTCTTCTTAACCCAACCACTGGCCTCCAACCCCAGTGATTTTTAACTTTCTCCATCCTGAGATGCTCTGTCTTCGCTTAGCAGCAGTTCCATCACATATTTTTGGAAAAGCAGGAAGGTCCTGGGTGTCCACCTGTGGCTTCCCTGCTCCTTTCCTCTGGCTGTTGTAAGGTCGCAGTTGAAAACCAGGTCTCCTGTTGTCTGGCCCTGATAATTCTTTGTTGGGGGCGGTTTTTCTGTGGAGCCAAACCAGGAGCAGATCTCTTGGTATACCACGGTTGTCTCACCACTAGTGACTACTGAATTTTTTTCTATTCAATTCCATGTTCGTAACAACTGGGGATTTCCAAGGATAGCCTTTGAGGTTAAAGGGAGCAACACAAGCCTGGAGAAGGTTGAAAGAGGACACTCTGGGAGAGGGGGGAAGCTCTCTGTTGAGGAGTGGCGTGTGCTGGTGCATTATCTAATACACTTGGCAGCTTCTGTCTCCTCTTTGAGGTGGCCTCTTATTGACAGCAGCACTTGAACATGGTCACCAGGGCCAGGCTGCTTTCAGGTGGCTTGGGTTGTGGTGGGATTTTTTTTTTTTAGATAGTCCAATTAAGGGGCAGGAAGCAGCCAGGACCTCAACAAAGACCAGATTGATCCGTTCCAACATAGGTGCTTCATTGAGATGCCCCTTGTCCAGCCTGGACAACGAGGAGCCGTGATGAACCCAGATGCTGAACCTGGTGAGATGTCCCGTTCGGCTCAGCGGCTTCCTCGCAGGTGGCAGGGGTGAGTTAGAGGAGAGGTGGCCACGAGGATAAGGGACGGTGTTCGCAGCGGTCCCGCAACGCGCTGCCACGAGGACGGCCGGTGGCAATAACGAGAGACACGGTTTTATGAAAATGGTCGCGAACACTCAACTTTCCCCGTGTGAAGCGTTGCGAGGTTGGTTCCTCCACCCCTTATGGGAGCGCCGGGTTTGTGCTTGGCTTCGGGTTTCCTTTGATCTTGCTTTTGTTTTGTTTTTCTCATGCTCTTTGCCTTCTTAATGCACTTTTTAGATTTAATCTTCTTAGCGGGTAACCGTTAAGCTCTTTCACAAAGAAAATGGACTTAGGATCCCTCTTGGAAAAGGCTGGAGTCAGGAAAGGACAGAGGACTCTTGGGCTTTTTCCAAAGGACCGACCCAACAAGTGCTGGCCATTTGCTAGTTGCCGGGGCAAAGAGCCCTCTGCCAGAGAGGGGGAGGGTGTTGGAGTTGGCAGAAAATCTTTAGCTGCGGGTTACTCATCCCAAAAGTTGCATCGATAATATGGATTCGGATCCCTGGTGCCAGCAGCAGGCACAACCCTGTGCCCCACTGCCGCTCTCGGTGGGCTGGTTGTCCAGGTTGGCGCTTCACGGAAAGGGAAATGAATGGGACAGCGGTTTGGTGTTTATTTTGGAGTCGGTTATGGTCAGGGACACCCCAGCTTATGGACACCAAAGCTCTGCTGAAGCCGCTGTGCTATCGGGATGGTGCACGCCTGTGTAGAGCAGGTTGGAGAGAGCATCCGCCGGCAACATCGAGCCGGAATTTCTGGTTGAGCAAAAGTACGTGTGTTTTCTCCAAGAAATGTTCAGCCTTGAATTTCCATTGATATTTTGGGGCGTTGGGATCTGCGGACCATCACCCAAAGCTTTATGCTCATCAGATTCCCAGCTGAGCTCAGGGAATAAAACACCATAATGGGGCGTTTAATGATGTCTACAAGAGGCGAAGGTTTGGAGAGTAAGAAGCGAAGAGGAGAAGAAAGGTTTTGTTCCCATTTTGCTGCTAGGCTCCATAAAAGTGCTGTCTTGCAGGAGGTGTAACAACTAAAAAATAAAAAAAAAGGGAGCTCCAAAGGGAGTCTGCCCTGTCTGCCTCGAGCCTACCCTGGAGCTCAACAAAAAGCTTTGGATTCATTCCTCCTGCCACTCTCGTGTCCGTCAGCAGCGCCGAGCACCCGAACAGTTCAGAGTGTGTTATTTAGGAATATCCAAGTCAGGGAATGTGCATGACCTGACTCCTCTCTGCTGGAGAACCGTGGCTTGACTTGTCGTGCTGTGTCACGCTGAGACCACCTTGAGCCTGGTGCAGCATCCCGAGCATCCGGCAGCAGATGCCAGCGCCCTGGCTCCAACCCCTCTGATGGTCACTAGCTTCTAGAGAGGCCAACGAATTTTCCTTTCACTGGTTTATTATGGTTTTGCTTTGGGCTCGGTGGGCGTTTTGGCAGTTTCTAAGGACAATTAGGGAAGAGGAGGTGCATTCTCTATTGCTGTGTTTGTGTTGGCAGGACGCTGCTTCTGAGGTGGCAGTATGGAGAGGGGATTTGCCTTCATTTGTGTTATTTTATGAAGCGTTGGCTGCAGTTAATCATAGAATCGTGGAATGGTTAGGGTTGGAAGGGGCCTCTAAGATCATCCAGTTCCAACCCCCCTGCCATGGGCAGGGACACCTTCCACTACACCAGGTTGCTCAAAGCCTCCAACCTGGCCTTGAACACTTCCAGGGATGGGGCAGCCACAGCTTCTCTAGGCAGCTAGAAAGACAAACAGAGGCAGCAGCACTTGTGGGCAATTTATTTTCCTATTCTGTTTTCCAATTAATAAATCAGTCTCTAGGCTTCCAGCTCTGGCCTGGGCTCCGAGCTCTCTATCACCAGTGGTCCCAGAGTGGTGTCTGAAAGACCAGGACTTCTCACGGCAGGAGAGTTCCTCCAGCTCTTGAAAATTGAGCTGTTTGGTCTTTTTTTTCCTCTGTCACATGGCGGGACCGGAGGAAGCTGGGGCAGACCCCGCTGCCGGCCCTCCTCCCGTGAGAAACCTTTCGGTCGTGCTCTGTTGGAACGTCCTTGGCAGCTCTGAATGGTTGAGTCACTCAGACTTCTTTAACCCTCAGCATGTAAAATAAAGGGGATGTTTAAAGAAAATCTGTTTTATCGGGGACCCGTCGTTGCTGAGCTGATGCAACAGCATATGGAAAGTGACTATATGGTGATGTAAAGGGTGTTTACCTGGCGTTATCTTCCCTTTGGAAGGGCTTGTAAATGGGACAAAAACCAGCTCTGGATGAATATGGTCAGTCAGAGAGAGGCACAAAACCCTTCTTATTTGTTGTGGTGTGCGCAGTGTTTATTCAAACCAGTGTTTCCATATCAACAGGGAACCCGTGCCAAAGCCAGCTCGAAAGTTAAAAAAGAAATTGGCCTCGTTGAGAGGAACCCTCCTGCCTTTCCTGGGGGAGCCGTGGCCGAGGAGGGCACGGCTGCCATCCTGCTGTTCAGAGTGAAGTCGGGTGATGGATGGTGGGGAGCCATCCACTGCTTTTCCTGTTGGAACGTCTCCGCAGTCACGCGCAGACGTCGCTGGTTTTTCGGTCCGTCAGCCTGGGTGACCTACTTACACTCCGTGGAGCTCAAAGGAGAATGACTGTCTTCCAGTACAGATCACTGCCGCCTTTCTGAAGGAAAGGAGAAGTTTCTAGGAAGTTGAGTTTGTTTATTTCTGCTCCAGCTCATTTATTTCATTTATTTGGGCCTCTTTTCTCGATGCAGAGGACAGTTTTGCTTGCATGGTTTGTCCCAGCAGCGTATCGGCAGCGTGTCCCTAAAGCATTCCTGGGCCAGGGAGTACTGTGGGTAGACAAAATGCAGAGAGTTGAAGGTATCCCTTGTGGTAAGCAGTTACGGGATCATCTGTAGAGTCATAGAATGGTTTGGGTTGGAAGGGACCTCAAATATCATCTTGTTCCAACCCCCCTGCCATGGGCAGGGACACCCTCCACTACACCAGGTGTGCCGGGGTCACCAACAGGAGCCAGGCATGGGTGCTCCTCCTCACCTTCTCCTGCTCTTGGTTGTTGGGCACCTGCACTTTTGGGATTGCCAGGTGCTCCCAAAAGGGAGGATGGTGCTTTCCATCCTTTACAAAACATTTGATGCTGAGGGATTAAGGAAAATAGGTCTGACTCCTTTGGAGCGAAAGGCATGAGGACAATGACTCTTCGAAACCAGTCATGCTGTTCTGGCTTGAGACCCTGCTTGTTTGTGGTTGGACCGACCTGTTCAGTAAAGTCGAATGTTTGTTGAGGATTTGCCACCTTCCCAATGTATTTTTTTTGGATCTCCAGTTTACTCCAAAACAATATTTGTGGAAAATCTAATACCACTTTTCCAGGCTTCCTTCACAGAGCCCCGTAAACGTGCAGGAGTAGGACCGTTCCAGCAGTTTTCTTCATCA